ACATTGAGGTTTTTAAAAAACTGCACAGTCCCTAACTGAGTTCCTACAAATAAAAACAAAAGCTTTGTGTCTCCTGCCATCTGCTGGCTGACAGAAGAAACAGGCTGACACTTTCTGATTTCTGTTTGTGTTCCTCACAAACTGTGTTTTGTGACACACTTTCTGTGTCAATATGAGGACAACAAATCCACAAAAGAGGAGAGATCAGTAGAATTACCTTGCTGCAACAGGACAGAGAACAGGAGAGGCAGCTTTTCCAGCAGAATAAAGACTTCCCCGATGTGTTTAGTAATGGTTTTAGTTGCCCTGTAGGCGAGTTCGTCTGATGCAGCACTTCTTGACTCTCTTTCTAGTTAAATAACTGCAGTATGAAGGAGGGGTTTAGTTCTAATSAAAGTACGGTCTGCTGCATTAAAAACAATGGACAGGAATCTGTTCTGGACATGTGCAAGGACAACAAGATGGTGCGTGGTGWGATGTAGGGAGGAGTGTTTTTCAGTCAACATTCTGTGGTGAGAATAGTGAAGAGAGTCATCACCAACGATCCTTCTCTCCTGATTGTGAATGGGATTTTTGTTTGTTTTTGTAAAATACACAAGTAATTGATTAAGGTGTAAGGCAGATTATTGCTGTGYCTTAGTTCAGGAATGAGAGAGCGATATTATTGATCTGTCACCTGAATTGCGCTTTTTCCTTTTTATTTGAACATTTTCATTGATATTTTATCGTGTTTTGCTGTGTCGTTTCACTGTGCATCGTTGCAAATTGAATACACACAACGAGAGATGGAACCTTTGTGTCCAGTTGAGATGGATCTTTGCTTTTAGTTGTATTTTATAATTTATTTTTGTGGCCCTCTGTTTGTTGGTGCAGAGAAACAAGAGAAACATGGAGGATAGCAGCCCTCAATGACTAAGTTTGCCCACCTGTGTCCTTTATCCTGATATGTGATTGGTCAAGACCAGCGAAAAGATACCAAGAATGGGGAACTGGCCCTCACTTGGTGTGAGTCGGCTCCTCTGATTCATTACCGAGCATCAATGCATGCATGACCCATCATGTTAGACAGRTGCAGAGGAGTTATAGTGGACACTCTGGACATACTGTGACAGAGGACGGTTAGATGGAGGACCTGTGACACCACTAAAAGAAACCAATTCTGAGAAAATAAGTTTATTTTCCAAAAAAAGTATACACAGAGGTTCATGGTTCTAACCATTGAAGAAAACATAAACACAGTTTGTAACTGATTTACAAACATATTTCTATATTTTAAACTAACCCTAGTAGTTTTAAAGTTATATTTTATTAAACGTTATCATTGCACACAGCTCGAGATGGAGAACTTACTTGTCAACATGAAACAATTACATTCAAACACATAACTTACTTTAGACACAAAGGTTCAATAGGAGTGAGCTCTGTTTCTATTAAGGCACTCGAGGTTAGGAGTCTTCACTGCCATCAGTGTTCTAAATCACATAAAACAAATGAACTGGTTTTGTTCATTACTGTTTGCTGCTACATGTTTTAATTAACTATGTATGGTCCAACATGTTATTATTGCTAAACGTGAGACTGACTATATCCAAGCCAAGAGGTTGAAAAAACATGTCAAACTGCCTTCAGAACAAGCTATTTTGGCTAAAACACATTCTGAGCATTTTTCCTCAGTACACAATGTGGGAACTAAACTAATTATTAGTCGACAAAAGAAAAAGAGGAACAGTAATTAGTCAAACCCCACATTACAAATGGCATTTTTAATTGCACATCACAACTGTTGTAGCCCACTATCTCCTCAAAGATGAAAAAACTGAAACAACAGAAACAACAGAAAGGATAAATGCTGTAGAGAAGACATAACCTCTGCTGAAAGTCCATCAAAAATAAATGTCTAATATTTTTAGTTTAAACAACAAGAAATAAAGACAAAAGCTTAGGCTCATTTTGAGTTTAATACCAATGATGTTTTATAAATTAAGGCAGGGTCATGTTTCCAATTCTATTGGATCAAAGTTCATTACTCTGAATTGAATGGAACTAGTTTTGGTTTTGATATTATAAATTTCAAAATGACCACAATTCTGAGTATATATTTTTAAAATATTGCTTCCATTTTTACTCCTCTACTCTCCATTAGTCAGTTCAAACAGTCACGTTTTATTAGTCACAGCAAACTAGCCAGCAAGCTAGCCAACAATGCTAACATTATTAGCTCTGTTCCCAACCCTGTTCCTCAAGGTCCACTRTTACTGTTACTGTTATTATTACTATTACTATTACTGTTACTGTTACTATTACTGTTACTGTTACTATTACTATTACTGTTACTATTACTGAATGTTGTAGTTGTTGCCCTGTTCTTCAGCAGGTCATCAGATTCTTCAGACGTTTGTTCTGATGTCCTGCAAAACTTAGAGCTTRAAGGAAATGACCTTCTGAATTACCTCATTAAGGGTGAAGTCAGGTCCCAAGAAGACACAGCTTTCTGGGATTTGYTCAAACCAGGTGTGTGAAATCAGGGAAACATCTAAGACACTCAGGACTGTGGGCCTTGAGGACCAACCAACTAAACTAATTTTATTAGCCAGAGCAAACTAATCAATTAATCTAACTCATTAAGTTGTAGCAAATTAGCCAACTCAGCTGACTTAATAGCTATAACAAGCTAGCCAAGTAAGCTAACTTTATAAATAAATTTGAAAATGAAAACATTAAAAAATACTGATGTTAATAAAAAGATTTAAAGAAATAAAGCAGGTCTTTCCCTGGCAAATGCAAAAAGTTAGCTTGTTTGGTATTGGCTTTGAAAATAATACTGAATTTGTTAATTAGCTATATGTGTTGTTAAATACACTGAACAAAAATATAAACACCCCATGTCAAATATRTGAATTTTATGAACCTTTGGGTTACGCAATATGTAGAGAAACCCAAAATATATTTTCAGTAATTACTGATCTTCATATCGGCATTGACAACATCGTGGTTTGGCCTTCGACAGTCCTTCGAACATGATAGAGGTCAGGTTGAGAGATTTGATTTTTCAGTATCTTGTGTGTCCGCCAGCTGTGTCTCTCAGAACAACACATCTTCTTCGCATGGAGTTGATCAGATTGTCTATGGTGGCCTGTTGAATGTTATTCCATTCCTCMTGGAGTGCCACATGGAGCTGACCCACATTGCCTTGAACTGGAACACGGTCCCCAASACGCCTATCCAGAACATCCCAAAGATGCTCTATTGGGGGACATGTCTGGTGAATATGCAGGCCAGTCCAGAACTTCAATGTCCTCTGTTTGAAGGAATTCTATGCAGATATGAGCAACATGAGGTCGGACATTGTCATGTTGAAAAGTGATATAATGCTGAAGCAACAACAACAAAAAAAAAAAAACAGCAAAACTGGGGTGAAAAACTCATCCCGATGTCTTTGAAGTGCAATGGTGTTTTATGCCTGTATGTGATGCCTGACCACACCATTATACCACCACCTCCATTGCCAACCCTGGGCATAACATTTGCATCTGCAAACCATTTACMCAAAATGTCAGCAAATGCTCATTTACCATTGTTAACGTAACGCCACATGRCAACAATATTTGACATGGGGTGTTTATATTTTTGTTCAGTGTACATTAACATCATGCTTTGCACTACATTGTTTCAGTGTTTTAGAAAAACAGATAAGAAAAAACAAAGATGCAGATTAGCTAAGGCCTGCTAGTTTTGCTATAGTTTAACAGCTGTTATTCTGAGTTTTTGTGGATTATTCTTTGAAAAGTTACAAAAAATATCTTGAAAAGTAACAAATCTCTTTTCTAACAAGCATCTCTTTCCTCCAATTTAAGCCTATTTAGCATTTTTGTGTTAAAAACATCTCATTATGTGTGATGAATTTTTGTGTTGTGCTTTAAGATTACAAACAAACAAATAAATAAAGCTGCGGTCCACTCATTTTCCAAGCCTCTTGGCCACATCTTTGTACGCAAGYTCAATTTCCACGTCCGCTGCACACGTGTTGGTGAACTCGTCTCGGTTGTAGGCATTGCCCAGGTATCTCCACACRCCTCTGAATTCAGACGGGATGTTGTAGTTCCTGTATTTCTTTGTAACCACCTGACAAAAACAGGTTGCAAGAACACAGACCAGATTTGAAGGGATAACGGAGCAAATCCTAGAAGGAAGCTGCCTACCTTGACCACATGAAGCTTGGGTAGAAGGTTGCAGTCAGCAAGCGTCAGTTCGTCACCGTCCAGATACTTACGGGTGGATCCTCCTTCACTGCTGTGGCGTCCCGACTGAACCTCGTCGGGCAATGGAGTCATCAAATACTCGTCCAGCTTAGCCAGAGCCTTGTTTAGGCTCTTCTCCAARGCTGAAACATTTCGTTTGTTTACAGATCACAAGACCACGGGTACAGTTCTAAAAGTCCTGAATGTCAGTGTTCTAACCTCGATTTTTTTCCGGTCTTGTGTTTTTGACGTAAGCAGAGAACTTGGCAAATATGTCATTCCCAGCTACGTTCGATTCACGGTTCCTTACTGCAAGTTTAGGATACCTAAGGACAGATTATCAGCAGGCTGCTGCTCATCCTCGTTGTCAGTGTTTGTGATGTTTGTGAGTGTGAGACCTTACTTTGGTGGAGCCAGCATCTCCTCCAGGTACTCCTCTATTTTATTCACATCCGTGAGAACATTTCCCTGGAAGGTGAGGAACGGCGGATGTGTTCCTGGGGCCAGATTGTGAAGGTCGGCTGGTTTCCTGAACACAAACGTCATCACCAGTGGAAGTTAGTCAAACAACAAATATCAAATAGTCCTGATGCATCTCAGTAATCCAGGTAAAAAATCAAAAGGAAAAAAATTATATAGGTCCTCTGGACGGGTTCTTCTTTAATGAAACGTTTCGTCTCTCYTCCAAGAGACTTCTTCAGTCTGAGAGTTTCAGGCAAAATTCAGGCTTTTAAGCYCTGCCTCCAGGTGACTGATACTCACATCACATGGCTATCGTTCACACCTAATTAATACCTATTGTTAACAGGGGGTGGAGAGATACTGCCAATGGCAGCGCTGTAGGAGGGGGACAGCTGAAAACGGAGGCCTCCACCTCTGTTTAATGATGGACGGTCTTTCTTCACAAAAATGGCTTCTTTTACTCCAACAAATATCAAATACTTTCTCTACTATATTTTATTGTCAGTGTTTGTATTTTTTATTAAAACATTGTTAAATGTAATTTTTTTTACTTTTACACACTCTTATGTTGAAGTTTAGCTACTGAAGATGCTACATGCTACACATGCTGCCTGACACGTCCAGCACTGCTTGTGAGAGAAGGTAGCTTTTATTTAATTCAAGATGAATGGTAGGGCTACACGATATCAGGAAAACCTGCGATTCGTGATAACAGTGCTTATTATTGYAATGTGATTTGCGATAAATTAACAAATACATAAGTATRTAGTTCTGATGTCTTTACGCTCTGAAAATATGAAGAGATCCATCCAATAGTCCAAATTCACAAAGGGCTCCAGGTAAATTAATCCAAGCTTCTGTCTAAGTGAAAAAACTCATTAAATGCAAACTTTTGAGCCAATCCTTTCTTACAGTTTATGCAGTTTTTTTTCAATGTGCATATTGCAGAGGTTGTTATTGCGATGATGACAAATTTTTTATATATTGTGCAGCCCTAATAAATGGCACAAAAATAGATGTTGTGAATTTTTCAGTGGACCTAAAATTAGTGGAACCTAATTTAATGAAAGCGAATCGGTCCGCTAACAAGTTCCAAAGTTTGCAAAAAAAAGCTAATCCGCTGGTGAAACTGCACCCACCACCACTGGTCGTCACACAAAATGTCTGATGTTATRTTATAAAGCACTTGGTGCGTACAGATTATTACCTCTTCAGGTCAACAGTGGTGACATTAAAGACTACTCCTTTCAGCCAAAGGATCATGAAGAGGCGTTGGGAGAAAGGRCAGTTTCCAATGCTCTCCCCATCACTGCCAGCCTTTAAACAAAAAGACACAAACACAAACACATGTTTGTTCTTCTATCCTCATGGGGACTTTGCATTGACTTCCATTTCATTTGTCATTTCCAGCCTAAACCTGACCCCTTACCCTAAACCTAACCACCTCAGTACATACCTGACACTAAATCTGACCTAAGCTAATACACACACACACACACACAGATGATACAAACACGTGTCTCATAAACATCATTTTTGGGGACCTTTTCCCTGACTCTTCTCAACACCATGGGGACATTTTGCGTTACAAGGACCAAAGCTCTACGAAGGCAC